CCGAGGCTCAGGACTGCCCGTCTTTCTGCAGGTGTGGTGGACCTCAGCTTCGAGGCCGAGAGTCCTCTGGCACCCCCAGTTGAACTCCTGGAGAGGCTGCCCAGCTATGACTGCCTTTTTCAAGGAGGCGGTAAGTCTGCGGGGTCTGGGTTCCTGCAGCCTCTTCCTGGGGCTTCTGCTGGTTGGAGGGACGTCTCTGGAACAGGCCAGCGCTGGGATAGCTCCCCTTTCCTCTGGAGGCTCTGGGAAGCCCTTTGTCACTGTTGGGAGGGCATGGGAGGACATGGGGTGTAAGCCCTGTGTCTATGAACGTCCCATGTCCATTTCCCTTTAAGACCAGAATGATGCCGGCCTGGGAACCATCATTCTTTCCTTCATCTGCTCTTTCTCACATTCAGCCAGTCTTTCCTCCTCTCACCCAAGGTATCTGTTCCTTTGAGCTTGCCCCTGACTCCTCCCTTCTCTTCCAGGACCGCAGGTTTTCTTCCCACCTTTGGAGGCCCCAAGGAGACGCCAGGAACAAACGTGCTGGTCCTCCTTCCTGGAGCACAGGTGAGCTGCAGGTGTGCTCTGGTGACCCTCCCAGAGCCATCACACAGGATCGTGGGTGGTGGTCCTCACTGTCACCCTTGCCCCTGGGAGCCCTCCTTGGGGATCTCAGGCGCCACAGATCTCAATCCTGACCTCAGAATCTAGGCCTGAATCAGACTCTTTAGGGACGGGGCCTGGGAATCTGTATTTTACCATCCTCTGCAGGCTGTTTGAGTTGAAACCATAGTCTAGATCAGGGGTTGCAAACTACGGCCCCTGGGACAAATTCAGCCACTGCCTGTTCTAGTAAATCAAGTTTTGTTGGAACACAACCCCTCTCATCTGTTGACTCACTGTCTGGCTGCTTTCCCACATCTGGCTGGCAGCAGATGTGAGTGGGTGAGACAGACTAGATGGCCTGCAAAGCCTGAAACATTTACTCTCTGGCCCTTTACAGAAAAAGCCAGCTGCTCCCTGGAGAGGCCCACGCCCTCCTTGTTTTGCGAGGACTGGGGCAGAGCTCCAAGGTTAAGGCCAGCTTTGTGCCTCCCCTTGGCCACCTCTCCTCCCTGGCCACCCACCTTCCAGCCTGCAGCCTCTGGCGAGCACACAGGCCCCTGGGAGCCGGGGTGGGTGCTGGAGACACAAGTGTGCAGGAGAAGGGCTGACCATGTGGCTGGAGCTGGGCTGCTGTGGAGAAAGGAGGGGAGGGCGCCTGCCTACTGGAGGGGTTGGGGCAGGAGGGCTTCACTGAGGAGGGGACCTGGCAGCTGGGCCTCAGGACACTTTTCTGGCAGGAGGGGAGGTGTCCAGAGAGAAGGCTGAGCAGGGCTGGTGGTCTGCCTTCCACTGGCTGCGGCCCTGGCCCAGCTCCCGTGAGCTGCGGGCACCGCTGTTGGCTGGGGCTCGGATGTGTTTGTGTGAAGCGGCTCACAGCTCCTCTGGCTGAGGTCAAGCCCCCCGAGGGCAGGAACCTCGTCTAGCCCAATTCTGCCTCTTCAGCTTCGTGATGCCTCCTCTGGTGCCTGTTTCCTCATCTGCATAATGGCATACTTCATCCTTAAGGATTTTTTTGAGTTCTAATATTCTATCAAGCCTTCCCCTGAGCTCACACTTCAGCTGATGCCGTTTTGCGGTCCTCTCTCCCACCCAGGGATCTGTTCATAGGGTCCCCTTTGCTGAGACGCCCTCCCTCCGTGGACTCCTGAGTGCTTCCCCACCCCTGTGGACCAGGGAGGGGGCTGCCTGCCTGGATGAGCCCTCGGCCCTCCACAGACCCCCTGCCTCTCTGCTCTCTTCCTGGCAGAGTCCCTGTGGTGACGGAGGAGGTGGCACGGGAAGCCCTCCTCACCTTTGTGAACTCCAAATGCTGCTATGGCAGCTCAGCCGCCAGCAATCTCGTCATCCAGGAGCTGAAGCAGCAGATGCTGTGCAGGGTGAGGGGCCGGCTGGTGGGGCTCCTGTGCGGGTGAGGGGCTGGCCTGGTGGGGCTCCTGTGCAGGTGAGGGGCCAGCTGGTGGGGCTCCTGTGCNAGGTGAGGGGCCGGCTGGTGGGGCTTCTGTGCAGGTGAGGGGCCGGCCTGGTGGGGCTCCTGTGCAAGTGAGGGGCTGGCCTGGTGGGGCTCCTGTGCAGGTGAGGGGCCGGCCTGGTGGAGCTCCTGTGCAGGTGAGGGGCCGGCCTGGTGGGGCTCCTGTGCAGGTGAGGGGCCGGCCTGGTGGGGCTTCTGTGCAGGTGAGGGGCCGGCCTGGTGGGGCTCCTGTGCAGGTGAGGGGCCGGCCTGGTGGGGCTCCTGTGCAGGTGAGAGGCTGGCCTGGCGGGGCTCCTGTGCAGGTGAGGGGCCGGCCTGGTGGGGCTCCTGTGCAGGTGAGGGGCCGGCCTGGTGGGGCTTCTGTGCAGGTGAGGGGCCGGCCTGGTGGGGCTCCTGTGCAGGTGAGGGGCCGGCCTGGTGGGGCTCCTGTGCAGGTGAGGGGCCGGCCTGGTGGGGCTCCTGTGCAGGTGAGGGGCCGGCCTGGTGGGGCTCCTGTGCAGGTGAGGGGCCGGCCTGGTGGGGCTCCTGTGCAGGTGAGGGGCCGGCCTGGTGGGGCTCCTGTGCAGGTGAGGGGCCGGCCTGGTGGGGCTCCTGTGCAGGTGAGGGGCCGGCCTGGTGGGGCTCCTGTGCAGGTGAGGGGCCGGCCTGGTGGGGCTCCTGTGCAGGTGAGGGGCCGGCCTGGTGGGGCTCCTGTGCAGGTGAGGGGCCGGCCTGGTGGGGCTCCTGTGCAGGTGAGGGGCCGGCCTGGTGGGGCTCCTGTGCAGGTGAGGGGCCGGCCTGGTGGGGCTCCTGTGCAGGTGAGGGGCCGGCCTGGTGGGGCTCCTGTGCAGGTGAGGGGCCGGCCTGGTGGGGCTCCTGTGCAGGTGAGGGGCCGGCCTGGTGGGGCTCCTGTGCAGGTGAGGGGCCGGCCTGGTGGGGCTCCTGTGCAGGTGAGAGGCTGGCCTGGCGGGGCTCCTGTGCAGGTGAGGGGCCGGCCTGGTGGGGCTCCTGTGCAGGTGAGGGGCCGGCCTGGTGGGGCTTCTGTGCAGGTGAGGGGCCGGCCTGGTGGGGCTCCTGTGCAGGTGAGGGGCCGGCCTGGTGGGGCTCATATGACAGGAAATGGGAGAAAGGAGCCTGGGGAGCAGTGCGTGTGAATGTCGGTGACGTTGAGGTCCCTCCTGCGACCCCCCTTGTCTGCAGTCTGAGTAATAACACAAGGAGTGATTATTACCAATCATCATTGAAAAGCTGCAATGTACTAGGTATCACGTAAAGCACGCTGCACATGTCCTATCACATCCTCGCAGCTACCTACATGGTGGGTGTTCTGTCACCAGTTTATAGAGGAAGAATTGGCTGTTTAGAGAGGTGGAGGTCCTTGCCCAAAACATGCAGCTAGAAGTGACCGATCTGGGATTCAAACTTAGGTTTGCTGGTGCCAAAGCCCATGTCCTCAGACACAAGCTGAGCCGCTTCCATGAGGGGCAGGCTGAGAGAGGCCCATCGACTCCCTAGATCCCTCTGCCTTCCCCAAGTCATATCTGGGCCAAGGAATTATTTACTCATCATGGAGGCCTGTTGCTCCAGGGAAATCTTATCCTGAGACCACCATGGGGACCAAAGCAGGCTCCTATGTTACTCTCTTCATTGACAGGGCCGAGGGACAGCTTCTAGATCTATATTTTCTAGTGTCATGGGCATAGCCATCCTCTGGTGAGCACACAATCACACAGAAATCAGATGAGCAGGGACCTGGGGAAAGAGGCCCCTGTGTAGCTGTGTGGCCTTGGGCAAGTTCACTGACCTCTCTGAGTATCTGGTTCCTCACAAGAAAAAGTAGGGGCCAGGTGATGTCCAAGGCACCTTTCTGGTTTGTGATTCCGTGGTCCAGGATCAGGAAGGAGGATCCTGAGGTCAGGCAGATCAATTCCTTCAAAGGGGACCCTCGGAGCAGTGGGTTACAGAGGCCTCCACCTAACAGAAGACAATCACTGCTCCAAAACTGGCCTCTTAGAACGTTTCTATGTACCAAGAGACAGGGACTGAAATCGCCCTGTCGTGAGCCTGTCGGGGGAGGTTTCCTGGGGCCGATGACCTCCCTGCAGACATGCTGGTGCAGCAGGGACAGAAGTTGCTGCTGCCAGCGTGCTGCAAGCAGGCCCTGTGCCGTGTGGGGGACCCTCTGGTTACCCACTGGGCTCCGGCAGATGGCAGCTTCCTCCTTTTGCTCTGTCTTCCTAAAGGGCTCGAGTGTAAACCACTGTCTTTCTCTACAGTATCGACTGGAGACTTTCAGCGAATCCAGGATAAGCGAATGGACATTTCAACCCTTTACGAGTGAGTTTCCTGAAATGAGTTTAATTGGGAGCAAATATGGCAGGAGCTAGTCTTAGCCGCTGACCTTGAATGAGATGCTCCTCTGCTCAGAGCCTCGGTTTCCCGTCCCTATAAAATGAGAGGGTGGGCTTTCGTCTCAGAGACGTCCCAGTGCTGATCTTAGCCACCGCTTCTGGTGCTGCGGCCAGGGTAGGTGGCACAGGCAGTGTGTGTGCTCGGGCACCTGTCTGTCCCCGCAGACCCCCTGGGCCCATTCACTGTGCTAGTCAACCCCCTGCTGACCCCGCTAAGGCCTCAGGCCCGTCTGGGATGCCCACATGCTGCCTGTTTTCTCTGCTGATCACTTTGGTTCATCCTTCAAGACTCAGCTCCCACGTCGCCCCTTCCATGAATTTCAGAATTTCTTCTCCTGCCCCTGCCCTCCCGGGCAGAATGGGCCAGTGTTCTGGGTTTTCAGAGCCCTTTATGTGACTCTTGGCCACAGCACTTACCCTTGTGGCTGTAGCTGAGTCTGTTTCCTTGAACGGAGGAGACAGTCCTCAATAAATAGTCGTTGTTTATTGAGGCTTCAGCAGTGCCAGCCCTGTGCTAGCGCTTATATTTTTTCTTCTGTGTAATTTTCACTACCGTCCTCTATGGTAAGTGCCATCATTATGCCCATTTTAGAGATGAGACAACTGAAGGTCAGAGAGGTGATGTAACTTGACTGGAATTACACAGCTAGGAAGTAGAAGAACCAGGAGTCAAGTCCAAGTCTCTCAACCCCAAAGCTTGGGTGCTTAACTAAGGACTCCAAGGGGACCCATGTCTACCCTTCCTTGTAGCCCAGGGTCTAGCCTAATGTCTGGCACCAAGGGAAGGCCCCGTGCTACCTGGTGAATGAATGAAAGCTTGTCCTGGCCACTGTTTGCTGTTCTCACAATGATCCGCTTCTGTGTCAGACCACTTGGTAGATGGGCCACGAAGAGGGACCTCCCCCAGGCTTTGGGACATCAAGGTCCAGGTTCCCCCGATGTTTCAGGAAGAAACCAGGAAGTTCCAGGTCCCTCACTCGTCACTGGTCAAGGTAACACGATTATCATAACACGCCCTTCTCCCGACCTGGTTTTCCAGGGACTGTAGATTTCCCGAAACATTATCCTGGAGAGGAAACCCCAACTCCAGACTGTTGGTTTATTTCTGGGACGTCAATGCACATAGCAAAAGAAAGGTCCCATTTACAAAAATTGTCACCAGCTTTAAATAGTGAGCATTCAAATTTCTGACCCCTCTGAGTGTTTATCCCCCCACCCGGCTCCCTTGGCCTGACAGTAAATGGCTGAGGTGCTGAATGAAACGTATAAAGTGAAAACGTCCTTGGGGTTTTTCATGGGAGTCAGTAGGGGAGCCGGATTTAACTTCTGTCCTGTTTACAGAAACGTAATCTCAACATGAAGAGAGGGTGACCTAACGTATGACAAAAGCCAAGCCAAGACACTTTATGTTATGGTCTCATCTGATTACCTGTCTTGGCTCCACTCTGGAACTTGATTCGAGCATGTGACTTACCCCTGTTTTTGTAGCACTACGAGATGGGGGGACCCTGAGAGCTCAGCAGAGTGTTCCAGTCTTTCCTCGAGAGCGGAGAAGCTGTGTTGACCCAGTGCTTAAAGTCCAGGAGCTAGCTTGTTGCCGCTCACAAGAACGCTGTCCATTTTTTATGGCTTCTACTCCCAGGGGCCACTTTAGCTCCTTAACCGGCCTCTGTGGTTTAGCCTGGGAGCGTGAGTTAGGAGGTGGGACTTGGAGAGCAAGCTCCCTTCTTAGCCTCCAGGACAGGCTGGGCGGGGCTGGGCTCTGAGGAAACGGTAACAGGATCTCCTGGGCTTGGCATTTAAGGCCCTTTGGAATCGTGGTCAAGTGGGAATGGCCATCTTCCCCTCTGGCTCTGAATGGCTGCACCTCTCTTTGGGATGGAGACATGGGGGCGGGGGTGGGGGTGGAGGTGGTGACACAGCAGGTGTCTGAGGAACTAGATCCAAGGACGGCGTTTCACCTTCAGGAATGCCACAAATGCCAAGGGCGCGGACGCTACAAGTGCAGCGGCTGCCATGGGGCCTGCATGGTGAGTCAGGTGTGGCTGTTGGTACGTAGTGCTGGTGGAGGAGCCCCACCCGGACCGAGGGCTGGGCTGGGGGCCTGGGGCTCCCCACACTACCAGTGGACCTCAGGCAAGTCATTCCCCCTTGTTGGGCCTCCATTTTCCCATCTTTAAAATGGGAAAGTTGGCCTTTTTCACTCTGATGGTTTATGATTTTAATTTTTCTCTTTTCTCATCTGTCTACGAACATTCATTGAGTTCCTGCTTGGCACTAGGCCCGGGAAGAGCACTAGGGCCTGGGATCCTTCCCACCGGGGACCCCCTGCTGTCTGGGGCACTATTCAACCCAGTCCAGGCCCCTGAGCGCACTGCCAGGCTCTCGTGGCATCAGCCTTCTCTTCAAACACTTTCAGGGCCACGAGCCATCCCAGGAGCAGAACCAGGCTCCTTTCGTATTCTTTGTTCTCCCAGGTACACCTAAGCCTTTGGACACACCCTGGCCTCTTGTCGCTCGGAGCCGTGTCTTCCTCGATCCTTGCATGGCCCGCCTGCCACTCCGCCCCGTTGGTGCCCTCCTTCCAGCTCCTGGGCGCTCACTCCTCTGCCCACCTGGGCAGCACCTTCGGGGCCAGCTGCGGCCACGCCCCGTCTAGCCTATACCTTCACTCCTGCCTTTCGCCTCCTCATGGCTTCCCCAGAGCCCCTTCCTGAGGTCGTTTCTGAGCCTTCCTCCACCCCTGCCCCTCCACCTCCTCTCCCTCCGCCCTCAGGGTTCCCCTGGAATGTCTCTGGAGCCACCCTGAGCCAACTACGAGAGCATTGCCTGCGTCACCTCTAGGGACCTTTCCAACATGAGAGCCCCGTGTCCAGCACCAGGTCCCTCGGCCCCCCTGCCCTCTTCCTGCTCCCTCTGGCCATGGCTGTGTGGTTAAGGGGCAGTCCCAGGGTTCACGGGGGTCAGTGAGGAGCAGGAGAGGCTGATGTCCCAGGGATGTTAGGATGTAGGGTCTCTGAAAGGTACAACTGCGTCCAACCCTCCCATTTTACAGGTGAAGGGGTGGAGGCCCAGGGAGAGGAAGGGGCTTGCTCAAAGTCACCAGGCTGGGATTTGAACCATGCCTTAGAACACTCTTTTCCCCACTTCCCTGGGAGGCCAGGGGGTACTGAGGCCGCGGTGTGTCCACAGGTGAGGTGCCCGTCCTGCAGTGGAGCCAAGCGCAGAGCCAAGCACCCTGGGAGGTGTCAGATGTGCTCGGGGTCGGGCAGGCACAGGTATGAGCGGGTCTCCCTGGCTTTCTTGCTTTTCCATTGTCTGCCCTGTTGGAAGGCAACCGGGCACCCTGTCTGCCTTGTCGCTTCTGTGTCCCCAGAGCTCTGTGAATAGGAGGTGCTTGTAAATATTTGTGGAGGGTGTGGGCTTTTCTTGAGGCCCGATATTTCTGGACAAGACTGGAACTCATCAAGCAATCTGTGGGTCAGGTGTAAGGAGCAAGGCAGTGCAGGAAGGAGGAGGGCGGTGTAGGGAGAGGAGACCTGTTCCTGCTCACGTGGTGGGATGGGGAAGGAATATAGAAAACCGCAAAAGGTGAGATTCTTAACTCTTTGAGGATCTGGGCCTGTGGGGGGCAAACCCTTATTTTTAACTCATTGCAGGGTGTGAATGGAGGAGTCAAGGAAGGTTGGTTGATTTACTAAACAATCAACAGTTTCATCTCTGCTCACAGGCCTTTGCAAACAGAGGGGCATGGCATTTTGTAAATCATGTCCTTTAATGTAGTTATAAATCTTTAAAGGGAAACAGGAACCCATGAAGAGTGAAACTATTCAAAGCTATGTTGGTTAAAAACACTTTTAGCTCATTGAGGCCCAGGCCATCCTTCTAACAAGCCAGATGGCGAAGCTTTAGTGGACCTGCCACCTGTGATTCGTAAGGAAGACATTTGATGCTGAATGAAACTCAGGTTTCTTTCATTTACAAGCAAAAGAAATCCAATTCAAACTGGCTTCAGCAAAAAAGTAAATTTACAGCCCCATGTAACAAACATCCAGGAGTATATTTCTGGGATGGCTTCAGGTATGGCTGGATCCAGGTGCTTAAACAATGTCATCAGGAATCTGTGTCCATTCCCACTGTGCTTTCCTTTGTGTTGGTTTCAGTCTCAGGCAAGCTGTCTCTCATCGTGGCGGAGGGGACCATCAGCAGCTCCAAGCTTAGGAACCTCAGTAGAAAAGGATGTCCCTGTTCTGAAAGTTCCAACAAAAGTTCTAGGGTGGATCTCATTGCATTTACCTGGGTCATGTGGCCATCTTTGTATCAGCCACTGTGGCCAGGGAGATGGAAAAAGCTGACTGGCCAGGCCAAGGCCCCAAGCTGGTCATAGAATGGGAGGGGGAAGCCTATGAACCATATAGACTGGGTGGGAGAAGGGTGGGAGAAGGGAAATTGGGGCACTGCCTCTAAAAGCAAGAAGTCTAGATGGTGGGAAGGTGGAAGCAATCCATGCCCACCACAGTCCCCCTCTATGAGGGAGGATTTGGGGGTGGGGGCCTCCAGAAGCCACCAGGTCCCATGAGTATCTGAGTGGTGCTGACGGTGTGTCCCTCTCAGGTGCGGGACGTGCTCAGGGAGTGGGAACAAGACCTGTGCCACCTGCAAAGGGGAAAAGAAACTGCTGCACTTCATCCAGCTGGTCATCATGTGGTATGTGGCGGTGGCTCAGTGCGTGGCCCTGCGGCTGTAGCTGGGGCATGTGGCCTGGACTGGTTTCTGCAGAGAAATGCCACATGGGCGGGGCTTTCACAATACAGGGACCGGCTGGGAGCAAAGGGCTTAGGGATCCTTGGGAAGAGGCGGCAGGGGTGCGGGATGCTGGCGGGCTTTGGAACGGACCCTAGTTCACATTCTGGCATCACTCAGTTCCTGGGTGTTCCCGGCTGTGTCCTAAATTCCCACGTCCGGGGAGGCTCCCAGGCCTTAAGGGTTTCTCCTGCTGGGCCCTCTGCTAAGTGCTCACAGGGAAGGAAGGGTGATATGAGGAAACAGGGCGGAGCTGTCCTGTTTCCCAGTTGGCTGGTTTCCCAGTTCAGGTAACACCAGCCCTGCAGCCCAGGTCTGTGTGATTCCAGACCCCCGTTCTTAGCCCGCCTCGCCCTCTTCGCCTCCAGGAAGAACAGCCTGTTTGAGTTCGTGTCTGAGCACCAGCCCAGCTGCCCCGGGGAGCTCCTAGCTAAAGCCAGAGGAGAGAACATCTTTAAGGATGAAAACACGATGGTGAGGCTTTGCAGAGCCCCCCGCGGAAGCTGCGCTCCTCCTGGCTCTTCTGGCTTTCGGGGGGCTGCAAGCATTTGGGACAGGCAGAGGGAACAGAGTTGCCGGACAGGACACAGGGATCTGGGACCCTGTGGGGCCCGTCCTCCCTTGAATTTCACATATTGGACTCTCCCTCCCTTCTCCCTCCCTTCCACACACTTAGAGACCCCTGTCCTGTAAGAGGCACCATTCTGGGCCCTGGGGATACCGTCCAACAAAATCCCTGCCTCATAGCTCTCACAGCCTGGTGGGGGAGAAGATAATAACGTTCCAGCACAATGTGAGAGGGCAGCGAGGGTCGTTGAGAAATATGCAACCAGGTGAGGGGCAGGAAGGGCAGGGGTGTTGTCTCAGCAGGGGTCGGGTGATGGTGGTGAAGACCTGAACACAGTGCAGTGGGGAGTGAATCGTGTCCAGCAGGGAACAGCACGGCAGAGGCTTTGGACAGAGAGCAGTGGCCCTGGAGGGCAGTGACCCAGGCGGAGTGAGGAGCTAAGACACGAGCCGTGCCAGCAGCCAGATCAGGGGTTGGCAAACTCCGGCCCTCGGCCTGCCTTTATCAATAAAGTTTTATCATAACATAGCCATGCCTGTTTGTTCCTGTATTGCCTGTGGCTGGCTTTGTGCTGCGAGGGCAGAGCCGAGTAGTTGAGACAGAGAGCCTCTGCCCACAAAGCCTGAAGTATTTACTATGTGGCCCTTTACAGAAAAGATTTGCCGTCCCTGCTGCAGGCCGTGGCAGGGAGCGTGGTCGTAATGGGAAGCCTGAGCGGGGTCCTCACGCTGCTTCCTCCGAGAGGGTCGGGTGCTCAGCCTCCTTTTATTTCTTCTCTCTCTCTCCTTTCTCTCTCCTTCTCCTTCTCTCTCTCTCTCTCTCTCTCTTTGTTTCTTTCTTCTTTACTGTATGTGATCTTTTCAGATTGACTTCTTTCACTTTGTTATATGCATTTTTTAAAAATTGAGATACAATTGACATATATTAGTTTTAGGTATTTAGCACAATGATTTGATATATGTATATGTTATGAAATGATCACCACAATAAGTCTTATTAACATTCATCACCATACATCATTATATATTTTTTCTTGTAACGAGAACTTTTAAGATCTATTCTCTCAGCGACTTTCAAATATCCAACACCATAGTCTTTACTCCAGCCACCATGCCGTGCATTAGATCCCCCGGACTTGCTTCATAACTGGAAGTCTGTGCCTTTCGACCCCCTCACCCACTTCACCCACCCCTCACCCCACCTCTGGCAACCATCAGTCTGTTCTCTGCATTTATGGGTTTGCTTGTTTTGCTTTTTTAGGTTCCATATACAAGTGAGAACATATGGTATTTGCCTTTCTCTGTCTGACTTATCTCACTGAGCGTAATGCCCTCGAGCTGGAACTGTCAGGTCTCCCTTCTTCCCCGTGGCTAATATTTCCCAGCCTTTCTTGGCCCCATCGCTGCGGCTCCCGCAGCCTCACTCATCCCTCCAGGACCTGCACCCCCCCGCGCCGGGCAGCCTCAGAGGCTTGCTGGGTGACGGAGCGGCTGCAGGTGGCGGAGTGCCCTGTGACTGTCCCCTTTCGGTGGCATTACCAACAGAATGTGGGTAATCAGGGTCTGTGGAGCTTAAGCAACCCACCCGCTTGCCGCAGGGCCTCGGCCCTTCCCCGTGCGGGCTGGCTCTCCCTTCCACCTGAGGTCGGTCGATCGCCAGGGCTCCAGGTGCTGACGCTTGGTCAGAGCGGCGCGTGGGTGTGTCTCTCCCAGGTGTACCCCCTCGTGGACTTCCCCCTGCGGGAGATCTCGCTGGCCTCCCAGCGGGGCATCGCCCAGCACAGTGCCGCCACCCTGGCCTCCAGAGCCCGCGTCCTTCAGCAGGTGAGCGGGGGCCCGGGGCTGTTGGCAGGGGAGGCTTCTGGGCCGGGCGGGGGCTCCAAGGACACTGTCCCTCCGGTCACATAAGGGAGGAAATGAGACGTTCCCTCTGCTGGGGGCTCCTTCCTGAGAATGGCAGGGTGGCCGGGAAGAGCCCCAGCCTGAGGAACACGGGAGTACTGGGGACTGAGCTGGGGCCAGTGTGGCCTGAGGCAGCGAGCGGAGCGGGCCACGTAGTCCATGGTGACAAGTTTGTACTTTTATCCTGAGAGGGACAGGAAGCTATTGCAGGGTTCAAGCAGGAATGTGGCTCCGTGTGATTTTGATCCGAACCTCCTTCNTCAAGCAGGAACGTGGCTCCGTGTGATTTTGGTCCGAACCTCCTTCGTATTGAGAGAGGCGAGGGGAGACCCAGGGTCTTAGGCAGGGTGGGAACCCAGCGCCCTGCCCCTCAGGGCACAAGTTCCAGCCGGCGGTCCCCAAGCCTCCCGCGGGCAGGGGCTGGCTGCCAGGGCTTGTGTGGCTTTGGTGCTGCATTCTGGTGGCCACTAGGTGGCAGTAGTGCCCGTTGTTTCCCCCGAAGGGCATTCGCAGGAGCTGGCCGGCAGCCCTGGAAGGTGGGGGTTTGGACGGGGAATGCCCAGCGCCAGCCCTGTGAGGGGGTCTCTCAGGGGGACGCAGGCTCAGCCCCGGCTCTCCTGCACTCTAACCTGGTCATGGGCCATCTACTTCCCCCTCTTCGAAGTCCAGCTTCTCACCCTTGCAAAGAGAAATACTACAACGGCCTCAGGGGGGTTGTAAGGATGAGACAGTTTCTCTTTTAAAATTTTATTAAATGTTTTGGAATGACATTGGTTAATAAGATTATATAGGTTTCAAGTGTACAATTCTATAAAACAGCATCTGTATATTGCATTGTGTGCTCACCACCCCAAGTCTCGTCTCCTTCCAACACCACCTATTTGACCCCCTTTACCCTCTTCGACCTCCCTCCACCCCCTTCCCCTCTGATAATCACCATACTGCGTCTGTGCCTGTGAATTTTTGTCTGTTTGCTCATTTTTTGCTCTCAGTTTTATATCCCACATATGAGTGAAGTCGTATGGCTCTTGACTTTTTCTGTCTGACTTATTTCGCGTAGCGTGATGTTCTCAAGATCCATCCATGCTGTCGCAGATGGCAGTATTTCATCTTGTCTTATGGCTGAGTAGTGTCCCATTGTAAATATGCACCACATCTTCTTTACCCAATCATCTATCAAAGGACGCTTTGGTTGTCTCCATGTCTTGAAGACCGTGAATAATCCTCTGTACCAAAATGTCAAGAGAGGCCTTCTACCTTTTATTTCCAAAGTTATCACTTGGAGACCAGTTTCTGGCATATGGAGAAAACTCAGTCTCACAATCTCATTTGCTTATTTCAACAATTCTGTGACATACAAGTTTTATCCCCATTTTACAGAGAGGAAACTGAGGCCCAGATAAAGGAAGTGTGAGATCCCACAGAAAGCTTTGTGAAAAAAAGCACACCTTGACTCTGATCCCTCCCGTCACAATGTCATGGCTCCCCCCAGTACAGTGGGGACCTACTTCTCAAAACCCCCTCCCCAGCCTATTTCACCCTTTCCCCAGGGACTTGGACCACCATCTACAGCCATAGGACTTGTACTCTTTTCCTAAGGAGGCTCTGATCCTGGGCCAGCTGCACCACCTCCCTCTGGGTTTGGGACAGGGGAACATCCAGTGCAGAAGAACTTAGGGTTTTGACATGAAGCCTGGCCCACAGGATATCCCCAAGAAAGCTTCGCTTCAACCATTAGGGGTAACTTTCCTATGTCAACTGTGTCTGTAGCTGCCATTAGCACTGAAAGGTAATGGGGGTGGGTACCTCAGTGGGTGGCCAGTTCTCTCTCCCAACATGGGGCTGCTAGTTCCATTCAGAGCCCCTGGATTTGGGAAGGTTTTTGAGCCATTGCTCAGAGAAGAGGCCAGAGAATGAGAGACTTCAGGACCAGGTTGTAGGAGGGAGCAAGTGTCCCAGGCTCTTAGGCAGAGGTGGATGCTGGGGAGGAAATTTGAGCATTAAATAGGTCCAGCTATGGAGAGTAGATGGGGCTTGACCTAGATGATCTTCCAAACTGAAAATTCCATGAGCCCATGGGCCTCAGTTTCCCCATTTGTAAAAGGAGGGGAATATTGGAGACTTTTCTCAAAGGAGGGTCAATGCAAAATCATGGTGGGGAGGGAGGGGCCTGAGAAAATAAGCCTGAAACAGCCTATCAAACTTGGGAATTTCTTTGGAGTCAATATTTTATCTTAAAATTTGAATTCAAATTGTATAATCGACTTCCTAATATGTCCATGGTTATTGTAATATCAAAATGTTTAACATGACTGTCCTCTACCGCTCTCTACCCCAACCCCCCCAATCTCAAAATTAATGTTTCTGGAAGATGTCCTGTTTGGTTGGTGACTCTCCATACATCCCATGACTCCTTTGGGGATGCCTGTGTCTCCACTTCGTAAAACCTAGAATCAGATGGTGGTTCAGATTGGGCCAGAGCTTAGGGTATATGAAGGAATATGGTGGGAGATCCATCTAGAAAGGCAGATTGCAGCCAAAATGCCAAGTCCAGAGCACGAACTTCACCCTACAGGTAGTAGGGAGCTATCGACAGTTCTTGAGCAGGCGAGTGACTTGAACAGAACACTGAAGCTTTTCCTGGCCAATTGTTTCCTCAGCGCCAGACCATCGAGCTGATCCCCCTCACGGAAGTTCACTACTGGTACCAAGGAAAGACTCATGTCTACTACATCTATGGCACCGACCACAGGGTGTACGCGGCCGACTACCCCGAGCAGTACTGCTGCGGCTGCACCATTGTCTGACTCGCCACGGCTCCCCCTCAGCCCGCCTCGCACTTTCCCCAGGGAGGACCACCAGGGTCTGAGTTCACTCACTGTTGGCTACATTGGACAATCGCTTACCAACCCTGGGGTGTCTGTCCTTCTGGAGAATTCAGCTTATCGTAAGCCGCAGCCTTTCTGGAGCTCTTCTGGCGGAATCCATCCTNCTGTCAAGCCGCAGCCTTTCTGGAGCTCTTCTGGCGGAATCCATCCTGTGTTTAACCTGCAAGAATTCAACTTCACACGTTCCTTTAGGACAAACAGTTTAAATGGTGGGAGCACAAAGCCAAGGCCAGTGCCCCGACTGAGCAGGTGGTTCGATTCCTCTTTTCCCTGGGCCAGCCTCAGCTCTGGGGTACCCCTTCTAGCGCGAGCCTTCACCAAGCTGAGTGTTCTTGAAATGCTGAGAGATGCACACCAATCGGCTGCCCCTTAACTCACACCAAATAGCGCCCTTAGGTGCAAAGTTCCTTTATGTTCTAGAATTTGACTTCCATTCTGTGGGTCAGGAATTCAGACGTGGTCATCATGGGGATGGTTTATCTCTGCTGCATGATGTCTGGGCCTCACCTGGAAGATCCGAAGGCTGGGGCAGCTCAAGGGCAGGGGCTGAAGCCACCTGAAGGCCGGTTCACCCAGAGACCTGGTGGCTGATGGCGGCTGTCGGCTGGGCCGGGAGCACCTGCACGTGGCCTCTCCATGCAGCCTGAGCTTCCTCACAACATGGTGGCTGTAAGGCTATGTGCCCCCCGCATGTGCCCCCACTGAAGAAACAGAGGTCTGTTCCCAAAGGAGAGAGCAAAGCTGCTGTGTTGGATGGATGGAGGGTCTACTTGCTGATCTCTAACATGGCACCTATGCCAGGGGAGATTTGGGAGAGTGATGTTTGGATATATGCAGGTTCTTAAATCATGCGTGAACCTTAGAACCTGCCCACTGAGCAGGACGTATGCACCCAGGCACGCGCGGGAGCTCCCGCAATGAGGCGCCACTCCACGTCCGGCGGGACTTGCAGATCTCCCACGGACGTTTGTGTCGAGCTTAGTTATACAGACTCTCATCAAAGATCACTTAACACAATGCCGATTTTATTTAGAGTCAACCTCTGTTCTTGGATTTTCCTACATGTCTTGTTTGAAATGGCTTCGGATCTGCTCACTTCTCTAAGTCCAAACCTGTAACTGTCTGATGACTTCGTGGGGGCTCCTCATGCCTCTGTGTCTGAGCATCCACAGATTGAAATACATGAATTAAAAAAATTACCTTCTCATTTCTCCTTTTTATTTCACTTTGGGCATTCAGTTGTGTTTTGTTTTTTTAAATGAAATGGTATGCAGATGATATATATGTGATTTAGTATATCACATGCAAATGATACACGCGTGTCATTTTAGGATAAATAGGGACCATGTTAAGGTTGAGGCCCAGTGGGCCATCCACACTGTTGGCCTGTGAATTCAATGAGAAAATCTAGCAGGAATAAGTGGGTCCAAAGGGGCACTCTTCCAATTGAGGCCCCGTGAGCCACTAGCCACAAGGCCCCTTAATTCCCACGGACCTGGCAAAACCCCAGATGGATACTGGGTCCTCTGGTCCGTTGATAACTGTTGTATGTTTTCCTCTGCATTGTCCTCTGTTTTATGCCTTTGCTGCCCCCAGGATATGACTTCATCTGCCATTTCTGCCTCTCTCTCATCCTAGGTCGGCGCTGGCTCTGACTGTGTAGCCCTAGGCCCAGCCAAACTCGTAGGGGGTAGAGATAGCACACGAGCCCTAACCCCAAACTGGCCACCACAGAGGTGGCTCTGCTCCCAGTTAGATTTTGTTTTAGAAGGACATCAGACTAAGTGGCTTTTTCTTGATTGCCCTGCCAAAGGAGAACACTAGCCCTGTTCAGCAGCGGCTGGGTCTCTGTTGGGTGGCCAGAGCCATGCTTAGTGGGGTTTTGCAGAGGGCTGAAATCTCTGCCCTGAGGCCACAGGACAGCATGTATGCAGAGGGAAAGGGAAGAATCAACATGGGAGACAGGGAGCTTTATAAAGTGAGAATGCCTAAGACCCAACTGGTGGTGATGGCTACAAGTGTACGTACGTATGTGTGTGTGTGTGTGTGTGTGTGTGTGCATGCATGTATGCCTGTATGCATGGCATGTGCATATATGTGCGTGTGCACGTGCACTGTGTGCATGTGTATGTATATGTGTGCATGGTGTATGTGCATGGTGTGCGTGCATATATTTGCATGTTTGTGCATGCATGGCAAATGTGTGTGCATATGGATGTGTATGTGTATATCTGTGCACAGCGTGTGTGTGCATGGTGTGTGCATGTTTGTGCATGCATGGTGAATGTGTGCATGGTGTGCGTGCATGGTAACTGTGTGTATGTGTACGTGTGGGTGCATGCACGGTGTGTGTATCTGTGTGTGCGCTTCCCAGGTGGGGAGGATCACAGCTTAGAAGGCAGGGGGGACTTCCTCCCCCACCTCGTTTCCCTCCCTTCTTCCCCCGGTCCCGACCATTCTTAGTATTTCCCAACACCCAGCCTTCAGCATGTGGTCAGCGGCTCGCTGCTTGTACCATGGCCGATTTCGATTTCTAGTTCCAGCGCAGCCCTTGATAGAAGAATGATGAGAGAACTATGGTTTTTTCATGGTTGGGACAAACAACCTAAGTGGTATTATGTTTCCCAGCAGGAAAGAACCTTCTAGATACAGCAGCTTGGCCCTGACGGCTTGCACTCAAAATTTCAATCTCCTTTTGCTTCTGCTTAATGGTCGGGGATGGTGGAAACAGCACAGTGTGGGGACCGTCCATACCCTGGTTCAAATTCTGGTCCAGCTTCTTATCAACTGTGTGATACCCGGCGACTCTGTTCACCGAGCCTCAGTTTCCCCGTCTGTGAGGTGGCGCTGACACTGTGCTTGGCAGGGTGGGTGGAAAGGGTGAAAAGAGGTCAGGTGTGCAGGGCTGAGCGTCAGCAGGAGCCCGGGACCTGGGAAGGCTGTCCGCTCCCGATGCAACTCCTTCGGGCGGCGAGTGCTGAGCCAGCCTCACAGCTCACCCCCGCAGCAGTGACTGCGGAGGCTTCGCTTCCTTCCCCCTCGGTGCAGCTCAGGCGCCCCTTCCCAGGCACGGCCCCTCCCCGCAGGTCGGCAGATCCCAGCTCTCAGAGGCGGGCCTGTCCCCTGGCTTCGCCTCCACTGGGCCGCAGCCTGCGGTGGGGACAGGCCTGTGCTGAGCCCGTCATAGACGCAGCCCAGTGGGACCCAGCTACTGAATGGAGGTGCCCGATGTGGCTCCAACACACAAGGCCGGGTTCTGACTCCAGGCGGCGCCGCCAGCTCTGGGAGGCGGTCCTTTTACTCCTGGGTGGCAGTTTTCTCTGTCCTGTCAGGAGCTGGGTTGGATCCGGTTTTCCTTTTCTCACTTGTCCTTTCCTTTCTCATGGCGCCATTTACATCTCCCGGCAAACAAAATCTTATGTGGGTCCCAGATATAAAAACCTGGTTGCTGTGGGGGAGGCGTGGGGCTGGGGCCCAGAGCCCTCCCCTGACACGGCCCCCTCCTCAGCTGGACCTCCTGCCCTTAGGAGCCCCTGGGAGTCCCCGGGATGGGCTGCATCTCCAACAGGCCACAGGACACTCCTGGAAACTAACTAGCTTCCTCCCCTCC